ATTTCTCAGGTGTTGTTCATGTAGTGGTTTATTTTTCAGCTGTTTAATTGATTATCAAATGGTTGTTTCTTATATTGAACACTTGCTTCTGTTGTTTTCAAAATATTCTCGATTTTCACTGCCTCAAGTAATTTTTCTCTGCTTCTACTGATATAGTCATTTAAACTTCTTTTTTCCTCCTCTACTACTTGCTGTATTTGTATTAATCTATGGCCTCCGATTTTTTTATGGTAAATATAATCTGTCCACATCACTTCTGGGATGTAGTGCGTGATGCATGTTCATTAGTTTCCATGCTTTTTGATCCAATTCTTCTAATTTGTTTTGGGTCCAATCTATTATTTCAGCTGGGTATCTAATCACTGGAACTGCCCATGTGTTTATGGCTTTCATTGTATTTCCCCCATTTAATTCTGATTTTAGGATTTTCCACAGTCTTTTCATACATTCCCTTCCTGTCAGTTCTTTAACTTTTGTGTACAGGATGTTACAGTACCTGCTTCTAGTATTCCAAAGGATTTTTAAGTTTCATCACTTGAGAGCGATTTATAATATTGCCATTTTTAACTCTATTCCATCTAATTTTGGGGTCTTGCCACAATGTATAGACAGAGCTGCACATGTCAATTCCAAATTTTATTTGGATATTTTTACTACATATTTGCACTGTATTTAGCAGTGATTATATCTCTGTGGAAGTTTTTGCATATAGTTTTAGGTCACCCTAGGTCACAGATGATTGGTTTTTCCTGCTTGTTCTAAAATATGGTAGCCCAATCCAGTTTTATTTAATACAGTGGTGCCTCGCATAGCGATCGCTCCATATAGCGACGAAATCGCTTAGTGACGCTGTTTTTGCGATCGCAAAAGCAATCGCTTTGTGATGGTCCCTATGGGGAAATTTTGCTTTGCGATGATAGCAGGGAAGTGATCATTGCAAAGCCTCCATTTTTGGCCAGCTGATCGGCGGTTTCAAAATAACCGCCGGGTAAACCAAATGGCCACCCGCTGTTTTTAGGCATGGATTCCTTGCTTTAGAGGCACCGAAAATGGTGGCGCTATGGAGGATCTTCACTTAAAGGTGAGTTTTAAGCCCATAGGAACACATTAATCGCGTTTTAGTGCGTTTCTATGGGCTTTTTATTTTCGCTTAGCAATGTTATCGCTTAGCAGTGATTTTTTCTGCATGAATTAACATCGCTAAGCGAGGCACCACTGTATTATTGACATGGGGATTAGTGAAATGTTAAACAGCAGTGCTGACAAAGAATCCCCTTGAAATATTTTTTTTTGATGCTAGTTTCCCCAATTTCTTCACCATGGGCATTGAGACAGTTTTCCATATTTTTCTTGAGGAACTTCTGAATGTTTTTACTAATCCTAAAAAAATTCAGGCAGATGTTAATCCACTTGTGTGGCAATGAGCCAAATGCCTTTTTATGGTCTATCCAGACCACGTTAAGATTTGTTTTTCATCGTTTTGCATTCTTTAGTATCTTTTTATCAATAAGCAGATGATCTTTCGTGCCTCTTGACTTTTTGAAGTTCCCTTTCTGTTCAGTTGGGTTCAGTTAAGTGATTATATATTGATTTTGTCAATACTCCTCTGAGGAGCTTGAACATTGTTGGAAGGCATGTAATTAGTCAATAATTACTGGGTTCATCGCCCTTTTGATGGTATTTTATTACCAGAAATGTATTGCCTGTTGTCATCCAGTCTTCAGTTGTAGAATTTTGAAGTAAGTGGTCAATTTGCATTGCTATATGTTGATGGAGACTTGCTAGATGCTTTAACCAAAATTTGTGCAGCTCCTCTGGACCAGGTGCACTCCAATCTTTCACAGCCTTTACTTGCCTCTTAATCATTTCAGTTGTTTAGGGACTTTTTATGTGTGCGCATGTGGGTCTGGTCTCTGGGTGTCTGTGTGAATTTTGTTGTATGGGTATAATATGTATATACTTACAATGACAATAAATGTATTTGATTTCATCCATTTGTTTTTCTTGAGTTTCTTTACAAATGTCTTTAATCCATGAGGCATTTATGTTATGTTTGGTTGGGCTTTTCCACATTTATTTGCAGAATTTTAGAGCATCATCTTTACATGGGCCTAATTTCTTTTGCTCTGCATTTTCTCCTAGTGATGTATAGAATAATGGTTGGTTATTTTGAAATTGCGTGTTTTCTCTATATTGTTTCAAGTTTCCATCATATCTTTCAATTTTCTTTGCTGTGGCTGTTACCCATTGTTTAATTCTTCCATAGTTTCAACTATTGTTTTCCTTTCTAGCTCATTTATTTTGCATAGTCTGGCTTTTATTTTTTCATTTTTAAGTTCTGAATCTTTCAAGTATTTTAAGTTGCTAATCTTTGGGGAGGCTTTGTCTTTCTGTTTTCTTGCTAATATGGGTTATTATTTTCCCCTCAGTTATGTTTGCTGCTCTATCAACTCATAATTTCTAAGTTGTTCCATAGGTTGTTCATCTATCGGTATGTTTTCTTCCACTATTGCATCTACCTCTACCCTCCATTTGTCTTCCACTCTATGGTCATTTTTCTGTGTTGATTTTTCTTTTGCCACCATTTCTAGTTCTTGCAATTCCAGTTCTGAAAACACTTTACTCCAGATTATAAACGTTCTCCGGTCCATTAATCGTTCTTTAGTTATGTCACTACTTGGGTATTTACTTTTCCAAATTTCCATCATTCTTATTTGAAAAACACGTGCTGTTGGCTTTGCCTCGTAATAACATTTCATAATTTCTCAATTTTTGGTGAGAGTCCAAGTTTTGTATTTATGTTGCTCCATTAGCTTTGCAGCAGCCTGTTCTGGTTCCTCAACAGGGTCTGCTGAGCCCTGTAGCCCATTTGTCACCAGATGCCCAGGGGGTATAGCATCTGATGTGGTCCTTGTTGACCCAGGCAACAACTGATCCAGTATGGATTTCTGTTTATTTCTCCTCATCATCATAATTGATAGTGGTAGACACAATTGGTCTGGCTTCTCAGCTGAGACCTGTCTAGCTTGGGAGACCCTTCAGCATAGCTCTAAATCTCACTGAAGCATGCAAGCCCCTCTGCCTCAACAAGCCCTGTGCCCATGGAGGGGATGATGATTAAGTAGATGATTAAGTAGAACCTATCAGTTTCTGAGGCATGATTAAGTGGATGATTAAGTAGAACCTACCAGTTTCTGAGGCAGCTCATTCTGGTGCTGATCTGCATATACAGTTATGAAGAGAAAGGTCTCTCTGCTTGCAGAAGGACAGGAAAGTCTGGTCTTCAGCGAGAGGCAGGGAGTACCAGAGTCTGGGTGCAGTGACAGAGAACGTCCTCTCCCAGTTGCCCACAAGCACACCTATGAAGATGGTGGGACTGCAAGAAAGGTCTTCCCTGATGATTACAGCAGGCTCATAAAAGGAGACACTGTTCTTGAGATAGCTTGGATCCAAGCCGTTTAGGGCTTTATAAGTTAAAACCAGCACTTTGAATTGTGCCTTGAACTAGATTGACAGCCAATGGAGCAGCTGTAACGAGGGGCTACATGAGCCTTCTAACTAGCCCCAGTTGATAATCTGGCTGCAGTGTTTTTGGAACTGCTGAAGTTTTCAAACATTTTCCAAAGGCAGCCCCACATAGCGTGTGTTACAGTAATCCAACTGGGATGTAACCAAGGAATGTGTCATGTGTCACTGTGGCCAGATTAGATCTCTCAAGAAGCAGGTGCAGCTGGCTCACTAGTTTTAAGGCACTCCTGGCAATGACTAAAACCTGGGCATCCAGGCTCAGAGATGAATCCAAGAACATCCCCAAGCTGCATACCTGTGTTTTCAGAGGGAGTGTACAGTAACTCCATCCAGCACAGGCTGCAACCCTATTCCTTGATCTGCCTTTTGATTGACCAGGAACACCTCTGTCTTGTCTGGATTATGTTTCACATTATTCATTCTCATCTACTCCATTACTGACACCAGACACTCATTTAGAACCAAAAGAGCTTCCTTGGATTTAGATGGAAAGGATAATCTAAAATATGCATTTGATACCATTTACTGGCAGAAAACAGCAATGCATTGAAATGACTTTTGGTGAAGGTAAAAGAAGAGATTGCCAAAGCAAGTTGTCAGACAGAAACAATGATTGCAGAAAATTTCCACAACTTTAACATTGACAATGGAGAAACTGAAATAGAGGTTTTGTAAACCTTGATTCAATCATCAATCCATACAAACTTTTCAGCCAAGAATCAGAAGACTGAGACCTGGAAGTGCAGCAATGAAGGAATTAAAAAAGATCACAGAGTATAGGAATGTGTCCCTGGAACCCAAGGCTGTCCACATTCTTGCATTTCTGATCAGCCACCCTGTATGGATGTAAAAGTAAAGTTGAGGACAGGACATTTTGAAGATTGCTCATTCATAGGGTTGCCAGATGTTAAAGACGACTTGATGGCACATAGCAACAAAAACAAGACACAAATATTTATTAAACTTCTACCTTGCTTTCCCATTCAATGGTGCAAAAGACACTAATGACGAATACGGGGGGGGGGAAGCAAAGTCAGAATCAAATCTCATCAATTAGCACATCAAATAAAACACAAAATAAAAGTACCCTAGAAATTACTCCAATATTATTCCCCACCTGCTATTAGTTTCTCCTAAGGGGAAACAATAGCAGGCGAGTCAAGGGCAGCCGAAAAAAACGTGGCGATTCAGTACAGTAGAATTTACATCGCAGCGACCACGAGAAGCCACCCCATTTCTTCCTCCCCCCTCCTTTCTCTAGTGCCTCTTTTAAGAGCCGTTCGGCGGGTGGGCGCGTCGCTCCTGCTGCGTTCGAACTCTCTTCTCACCCTTTCTCATTGGCCCAGGGTAAGGGGTGGGAGTGGGCAAAGGAGGCGCGCGCCGCAGGCTACTTGGCTGTGGGCGGGGACACAATTCAAGGCGGCCGGGTAGGGTTCGGCATTCTGATTGGCCGGGACTAAGAGTGGCGATATAAAAACCACGCGTTGCAGCGAGAGCGGCTTTAGTCGTCGGCACAACGGAGTGGCTTAGGGTAAACTTGTTGTAGCGCTCACAAGCAACTGCCATTTCACTTCGCTCCCCTGTGACGCTTGCTTTTTGTGGGGCGCCTGTTGACTACGGAGGGCTGTACAAGGAATAACATCACCACCATTGGAATAACATCACCATTGCATTGGGGGCGAGAGGAGCAAAATGGAATGCAAGCTGGAAGCTCACCGCATCGTCAGCCTCTCGCTGGGCAAGATGTACAGCGCGCGGGGCCAGCGCGGAGGCGCGAAGCTGCACAAGAACCTCCTGGTGTCGCTGGTTCTGCGCAGCGCCCGCCAAGTCTACCTGAGCGAGCTGGAGTGCTCCCCTTCTTCGCCCGCGCCCTCTTTTCCTCCTCCTCCGCTCGCGGTTCTCGTGCCTTCGGGGCCGGGTGCGGATCCGCTTCGGGGTGGCGGCGGCGGCGGCGGAGGGGACCCTCAGGCCTAGGCGCCCCTCTTCGCTCCCCCTCCTCATCGCGGCTTTTTACAACCGGCGCGGTCTGCGCTGCCGTCAGAGCCCCGGGCGGCTTCTCCAGGCTTTCCCGGGAAGCCCCCGCCGGACTGGGAAACGCCGCGGCTGCCCTGCTGCT